AAAGGTATCAAAAGTTGACTTTTGCGGCCAAAGAGATCTTTCAAAGACCTTGTCACCATTTTTTCATATTTTTCTAATAATTTTGCAAAAATGTTGATAAGACCTATAGACAATGATCCAAAAATAACAAATAAGTCTAAAAAAAACAAAACAGAAATTTGACAGAAAAAATGTAGCATTGAAAGAAAGCTGAAATTTATCCATTCAGTTTTTGTAAATCGCAATTTACAAATTACTGTTACAAGTACTACTGTAAAATCTGTATTAGAAGCCCCATTCCTAATAGAAGTCGCACCCATTCTTTTTAAATAATTGAATAGAATAGAATAGAAGCTTCATCCCTTCTGTTGCATTGTACCATTTTGATAGAAATCACTTCTAACACAGATTTTACAGTAGTACCAAAATCTGTATTAGAAGCCGCATCCCTAATAGAAGTCGCACCCATCCTTTTTGAATAATTGAGAACGAAAAATTCATCATTTCTCATATGTTTAGGTGCTCTAATAGAAGCCGCATCCCCTCTACTGCATTGTACCATTTTAATAGAAGCCGAGGTTTCTAATACAGATTTTACAGTACTGTACATGTTGAATAACTGACATATTTATACATGTATATACAAATATGCACTGTAAACCGCTTAAGGTTGTTTGTGGGTATTCAACCTGTTAACCTTTTCACCACCAGTTCCCCCTTTTCATCACAAAATAGTCCAGTTTATAGTCTGCACTTTCCTTCAGAAAAATGGGACAAAAACAGCCTTATTTTTTAAGAAAAAACTGAAAATATACATTTGGGTGAGAAAGTCTGGTGGTGAAAAGGTTAAACAAGGTCAAACAAATGTATTAATTTATATAAATTCCTGAGTCTTTCAATTGGTTTTTCATGATATTAAAGTGGTTTACAATATTTCAGTGTACATTTAACTTACACAAAATACTGAGATGTCTGAGTGTTTAGGTCAAAGGTTATACCTACCTTTTCGTAATAAGTAGATAGCCTGGTCTGTTAGGAGGATAAACACTGGTTTGACATCACCTTCCATATAACCAGTACTCATATGAATCATCTGTTAAAATAGATAGAACAAGTCATTGTCAATGACACGTCCCCGTTCCGTTCCGTTCATATTTGAGTGACATATACATTCAATGCAGATCATGACCGAAATGCACCTGCATATGTACAACACATTGTGCTAAATCTGAACAAAATCCATCCATGCATGAATGAGATCCGGTTCTGGAATTGTGAAAATACGTGATTTTGATGCATTTTCGGCCTTAAAATGGCAATCATTCCGCTATTGTTAAGCAGATCATGAAACAAATGCACATATCTATTTGTGACATGATGTACCATGTGTGTGTGAAGTTTGAACTTGATCAATCCAGACATGTCTTGGATACGGATCCAGAACTGAATTCTTTAACAAAATGGCCGCCAGTCGGCCATTTCGAACTTGATCCAAAAAAAAAGACGTGCATCAAGGTCCTATTATGTTTAATGTATGTACCAAATTTGAACAAAAT